CAATAGAAAAAATTGTTTAACAGTGCTAAATAAAAGAAGATGCTAAATTCTGAGTCTATATATGCACATGCTCATAACTACATATACACATATGCACTGCTGAATCTATCATATCTCACCCATCAAACTTCAGCAAGATTTGAAGATCCATACAGTTAGATTGCTTTTGGATTATATTTTAAAAATATATGTACTGAAAATAGATATTATGGAAGATATAGTGATTGCAGCCCAGCTCTCTCTTGCTGCCTAGCTGCAGGGAATATAGTTAGCAGACAATTAGAGTTGGCTTTAGATTTGCCCACAGTTACTTCCTTTCTAGGCAAGCTTGCATACAGGCAAATACAGAGACAGGGTTGTAAAGGACTGGCTGTTTCAGCCCAAAACAGATACTCTGCTGGCAATACTGCTCTAGAGTTCTCTAATGGTTGGCTGAGGCTTTGCCAGGCCTCCATTGCATTTTGATTTCCGTTCTGCCTAATCTCCACCATTTCCTTTTACAGAACAACTTGCAGGGCAAACTTCTTCCCTATGTCTACTTACGGGAAATAAATCCTGGGGCAGTTGATACCAGAAGTAGGGGAAGGGAGTCTGATAAAGTAGATGATGTGATGATGTGTGCACTTATGAGTAAGATACATAAAAATCTTCAGATGTATAAAGAATGGAGAGAGGAGCCCATTTACTAACTGGTGCAAAGGCTGCCATCCCAGATTTGAACTGGGACAGGAGCAGGAAAGAACACTGCTGCAGGTCCAGGCAGACCTCCCACTGGGCCATATCTCCAGTCACATGGGGTCACTATGAGTCACAGTCAACTTGACAGTATCCAACAACAACATAAAATAATCCCTTTCATCCTCCCAACTATACCAGATTTTATAACAAGACCTATAGATCAGACAGTAATGTAATGTGATGTAATGTAACATACTGAAACAAATATAACACAAAATAACGTAAGAGATATGTTACCACCTCAAAAAAAAAAAAAAACCCATTGCCTTCAAGTTGATTTCGACTCTATAGAACAGAGTAGAACTGCCCCATAGTGTTTCCAAGGAGTGGCTGGTAGATTTGAACTGCCAACCTTTTGATTAGCAACCGAGCTCTTAACCACTGTGGCACCAGAGGGACAGGAAATATTAGTATGAAAACAATTCCAAGAAGTGGTGACTGTGAAAGCGCATTGCAGATTGTTCAGGGAGACTGGTAAAAGGACCTAAGTCGGTCTAGTGGGGAAAACGTGAGTAAGGCTAAAGTGTCAGCTTAAAGGAAACCATTTTGACTAAAAAAAAAAAAGTTTAAGTCGAACTTATCTTTCATGTTTCAACAATCAAATTATTGCTGTTAAATTTACATTAAAATAACTATGATTATGCATTTCATATTTCCATAAGCATAAAATGCATTATTCTGGTGAATATTTTTACTATATCTTTACAAAAATAGAACATTGCTTTGCTATAGGAAAAGTAAATGCCAGACACAGTTATGCTAGAATCTTAGACATTGTCCCAGTGGAGTTACCAAGCATGACTCCCTGATTGCCTATTGCGTCTATGTTTTCCTCTTAGTAACTAAATATGAGGGCTCCACTAAATGACCCTTACAAATGGAAATAAGATCACATTTCCATTTGACTGACTAACTGTAAATTCAACATTTAAATAAATCAGATTACAAATATGCATTATTTTCAAAGAGAAAGAATGGAATCACGCAATCAACAACAAGCTGAGTGGAAAATTCAGTGGATGTGTTCCTGTTGCCCTGAAATTTCAACTGGGATAATTGAAAAAAAGAGGAAAGAACCATCAAATACTAAGCAACTGGGGAAGGAGCCAGCACCTCCTTCAGGGTTAACTAAGAAGAGGCTATGCTATCCTAGCTACAACACTACAACCTTATGCACACTGCCCACATACACACCATATAAGTAAGAGACTAGAGAGAGAAGATCACATCATTGGGGTAGTGAGCCTTCTTCTTAGGAGAGGAAGTTACTGGTGACTCCTCCCCTTCTGGCAGGTAAAGATAGCTCAAAGAGATGAACACAATCCACTGGGTGTGTCAGTACAAGGGGAAAGGTCTGGTATTTCCATCTCCATTTGGACATCTGCTTTTACAGAAGATTAATCTGTTCTCTGTAACCAGTTGAAGTGGAGAAAGATGAGCTTTGAGGTAGTCAAGGTTCTAATATTTTCGCTTAGTAAGGATGTATGATTTTTCTTCAAGTCAAATGGATAGTGCCTAAAGTTGGCTGGCTACAGTCACACCCAAAACAAAGCCTGATTAGAACAGGGTGAGAAGGTTTCTAAGGAAGTCAGTCTGAGTATCATCCCCCATGAGGAAACTGTGTCTCCAAAGAGGCTCCTGGTGTGCTTGTACTACACACATGCATCTCCAAGGGGCAGGCACTTAGATGCTGTCACGCGGAGAACACAGGAGGCAGGTGCAGCCCAAAGAGAACATCAGCACCAGATGCATAAGAAGTATGTGGCTCCTTTCCTCTCCTTTCCCCACTCCACCCTCTCCAGGATAAGGCTCAGCTGTCACTGGAGTCATAGAAAATATGAGTGCTAATTGGACTTTTGAAATTGTAAATGGTACAGGATTGGGCTAGATATTTTTATTCTTGAAAATGACCAGAAATGTACAGTATCTGCCAAAAATGTTATTATATGACAGAAAGAGAGGTTCAAGAAATATGAGTGAAAGTCAACCGGATTAAAAAAACAAAGTTGTGTACTACATTGAGTTGGATTAAGGAATGGTTTGGTTACAAGGCTGCAATCTGATTGAAGGTGCTCATTAACACATCTATGAAAGAGGAGATGGCCTTGGAAAAAGAAGAAAGGAACTGATACAAATATTGGCTTTCCTTATGTAAAACTGAGGAAGCCCAGCCAAGGTTTGAGATTCACCTAACAAGCTTCCGACTCGCATTTAGTTTCTCACATAATATACCTACAGGTAATACTTGTACTTATCATGTTGTTGTTGTTGTTGCTGGGTGCCACTGAGTTGGTTCCGACACATAGGACACTATGTATAACAGAATAAAACACTGCCTGGTCCTGTGCCATCCTCACAATTGTCGTTATGCTTGAGTGCTATTGTTGCAGCCACTGTGTCAATCCATCTCATTGAGGGTCTTCCTCTTTTTTGCTGACCCTCTACTTTACCAAGCATGTCCTTCTCCAGTGACCGGTCCCTCCTGATAACATTCCAAAGTATGTGAGACAAAGTCTTGCCATTCTTGCTTCTAAGAAGCATTTGGCTGTACTTCTTCCAAGACAGATTTGTTCATTTTTCTGGCAGTCCCTGGTATATTCAATATTATTCTCCAACACCGTAATTCAAAGGCATCAATTTTTCTTCGGTCTTCCTTGTTCACTGTCCAGCTTTCACATGCATATGAGGTAATTGAAAACACCATAGCTTGGGTAAGGCACACCTTAGTCCTTATCATAGAGATTCTGAATTCCCTAATTGCTGAGACAGTGATTCCTCATTGTAAATTAACGAATTTGCCTTGTTTTTACATATGTCTTATAAGCATCATTAAGAGAGTGTTTCTGAGAGATGGATATACACAGCACAAGGTTAGGTTTCTGAACTTGATAAACGTGGCCAGGTGAAGCCATTATAAATAAATTCTCAGAAGGTTGCAACCTTGTAGGAATTCTTGAGAGAGCATCTACTACCTTCTCCTCCAGGGTGACCATGTTTGCTGCCAGGCTTCCTTTCTATAATGTTCAGATGAACATTGCTTTTCTTCATGGTTGTGATTGAGCTCCTATTTGGAGTGTTCTACAGTGTCAGAAATAATTCACTCTTTCTATCTCTCACTCCCTCTCTCCCTTGTTTTCTCTCTCTTAACAAAACAAAACATATACCCCCAGGATGATGATTTCTCTTACTAGAGTCCTTAACTCCCCTTATTCATTATTTTTAAGCATTATCTTTATAAAACTTCTGTCCTGAACTACACAGTGTGTATACAAAGAATATGAACTACCCAAAATCTTTTTTCATTAAAAGAAATACTAACAGCTTAACTGTTTTTGGTATTACAGGAAGCAGGTAGTAAATGACTGATGGCTGGTTGATTAATATTCTGGCACTTTTATCAGACCAGTAATTGCTCTCAGTGAAAACTAAACAAGCAGAAATCAACACAGGGTAGACTCGAATGATTTCATTTGGCTTTCTCTCCATTGTTCTCTAGGTGAATTTCCTTCTTTCCTTCTCAGGATTTTCTTTACGCTGTATGTGTTAGGGTCAAGGCAAGACTAGCAATGGAACTCTACGGTAAGAGAATTTCCTTACCATTTATGCTATGCTTTTGGGTCACTCAATGCAGTTCTCTTTTCCCCTGGTAATTTATTATTATTTCCCGCTTCAGTTCCTTCTTATAACGAGAAAACAAACTACATTATTATAAAATGAAGAAATTCTACATAAGTGAAAAGAAGTTTTGTAAATTATTTTAAATTCTCAAAATTAGCCAAGTCTATCACTCAAAATGACAGAATTGGTATTATAAATCTGGATTTTCAAAATATAGCTTTGTAAGCACATATATAAACCATCTACAGTAGAATTTTAGGCATTTACTTATGGCATAAATATTATTAGTAAATTAAAAATGAAATATACTTCAGAATATTTAGTCATCAAATACATTAGAAATTATCAAAATTATAAAAACTTTTTTTGTTCAGAATTGAAATTTGGTGAGCTTATTGCACTTTTTCACCTGTATTAAACATGAAAACTTGTCCACTCTTTATTAAAGTTATCCGCAAAAATCATTCTTATTAGCATTCTTTAAACTTTCTATTCACTTAACTTAGAGCACTGGAAATGTCTTACCTAACTCACCTCTTCTAAAGGAAAAAATGTAAATACCAAAGGACAATAAAATGCAAATCACAGAGCTATATTGAAAATCAGCTTGAATTAACCAACACATTCTGAAATTGCTGACTCACTTTGAACTCCTTGGGAGCGTACTATTTTCCAGGTTTCTGATGCCACTTCTTTGACATCCACTTGATAGTGATGAATAGGCACACCTCCATGGGAATCCGGTTTGTTAAAGGAAACTTTGGCCATGGTCTGTGACAACTCTATAATCTTCACTCCATAGGGACTGGACGGCACATCTACGAAGGAACAAATACAACGGAACAGAACTGAGGTAATGCGGATAGCCATCGTTAATATTTAGGATGTTCTGAGAATTAGGAATAAAGGAGACTTGCCGTCTATATTCCTCAATATATTTGCATTTAAAAACTTGCATAAACAGCTGAAGAAAGTATTCACAAGTCAACCTTTTTTTACAACAGCATATTAAAAGTAAAATATTCAATATTAAATATCATTCAGGGAATAATTTTATTTCTGCTTTTTCCGTACAACATAATGTTTACAATATTTTATGAGTCCAAGGGAAACAAGGTTCCCACATGCGTCTGTGTGTGTGTATGTGTGTGAGAGACAGAAAGAGAATGTAGGAATAATTGAAATGTAAGAATAAATAAACGTTTTATTGAAATGAAATGTTAGCATAAATAGTAATCTCTTATAATAATGTGAAATGTATTTTCTTTTTGTTCATTACAATTATATTACTAATTTTGGAAGCAAGGGCTATATAAAATGTAATTATTCTAAAACAAATGTGACTGCAAACTATCTGTTCTAACTTTAGGTGAAATTAAGTTTTAATTCCTGTATTAAAAAATATATCAAATCTTTCTATGCGTGTTATTTTATCAATCCATTATTAGTTTAGGCTCAATGAAGTATTCTAGGTGGGACTTTATTTTGTAATGCACAAAACTTCTTGAAAAAGATTTAGCTAAAAGTCAGAACATGCAGGAGAAGAAAATAAAAGAGAAAAAATCTCAATGAGAAAATTAACGAATTCTCTACTTCAGAAATGTCAAGTTTTAGAGACAAGTTAATCATGAAAGGAATTTCTCTCTCTCTCTCAATCTCCCTCTCTCCTTCCAATATTACATTTGCAATAATCTTAAACTTTGGAAAAGGAAGCAAATATGGATAATTTCAGAGAAAGAAGTTTAAAAAAGAAATGTATATATATACAAAAGTGGCACTTCAAATCTACCAGCTACTCCTTGGAAACCCTATGGGGTAGCTCTACTCTGTCCTGTAGGGTTGCTATGAGTCAGAATAGACTTTATGGCAATGGGTAGTTTATATATTAACTTTACAAAAAAAAAAAAAAAAAAGTCTTGATTGAAGAAAATGCTATAAATGCAAATTTCTGTTCTGATATCAAACATTCAAACCAGGATCTCTAATTGTTGTTAAAAAAGTCAAATGTGTCCCATTTGCTTGAGTTTAAAAAAAAAAAAAAAAAAGAGCACTGTAGATCACATAAGTTATGCCTTATAAATGGTACTGGGGAAGAGCCAAGAGGGCAGACTTATGGCCTTTGGATGTGAATATTGTAAAGAAATGCAGCAGTGTATATTTCAGCTCTAATAATGGAAAGTAAATTATTTAGAGATCTCATGACGTGCGTTACGTTACGACTCTCAGGTTCAGAAATGTATGTGTAGAATACTCACGCAACCAAAACTCGTAGTGCTATGAAAGTTTTTATCAGGAAATAAAACATTTAAGTAATCTAAACAATTTATTTAAGATATCATTCATAAATATCATCATAGTTTTCAGGTCTCTTTAACCCAGGTTAAGTCTGTAAATTTTTTTCATCTATAGATTCAATACAAAGTTTGCTAAGGAAAAAAGAAACAAAAACGAAAACATGGATTGTTCTTAGCAATACTGTCCATTCTTCATGCCACGATGAGTGATTCCCTAACGTCTGCTAGGTTTAAGCTGGTCATCACAGCAATTATAATCTTCAGTTTAGGAACATATTTCAAAAAGGAAGGTAGTATGGATTGAGGGAAAACAGAGATTTTCTGTCCTTGGGATCCCATGTTTGGCTATACAACATGTATGGGCTCTTTTTTTCTTACTCTGACTTTAAGCCACTGTAGAGTCATACACTATTTGCTAAGCTCTACATCCCAACATGGTGTGAAATACTGAGAAATGTTGTTGTTGTTAGGTGCCGTCGAGTCAGTTCCAACACATAGTGACCCTATGTACAACGGAAGGAAACACCGCCCGCCCTGCACCATCCTCACAATCGTTGTTATGCTTGAGCCCATTGTTGCAATCACTGTGTCAATGCATCTTATTGAGGGTCTTCCTCTTTTTCACTGACCCTTTACTTTACCAGGCATGATGTCCTTCTCCGGGACTGGTCCCTCCTAACAACATGTCCAAAGTACGACTGAGACATGAGGGCCCTTTTTTCTTAGCAAAAAAGTGCCATCACCAAAGCTTGGACCAGTGAGTACCTTTTTCTAGCTACAGAAGCTAGTTTCAGGCCTGCTGACTCATACCATGGTTTTTCCTTTATATTTATTTTTTGTTATTGATGGCTTAATTCTTTCAACTACCTGATTAAAAGCAAAAGCATGTTTATGACTTACAGTGATAGTCAATTTCTTAATTTTCTCCTTTCTACATTCTGATTTTATATTTCCAACATGTACTGGCTAACAAATTATGAGTTTCTTGAGGACAGAGGCAAAATATTTTACACACACACACACCTACCTACATACATATATGTAACACTGAGCAAAGTGACTAGAAAATACTAAGTCCTCAAGAAATATTTTACTCATAAACTATTTCTGTAATTAAAAACAATAAACAAACATACAAAACATTTCCAAGTGAATGGTGGGCTGGCACGCCCAGGATCAACACCTCTAAACTGTCTCCATTCTCACAATTGTTTTGTAATCAAATTCATCCTTGACTCTTATCTCCTCTAAATATCACAAATGTCTCCAAATGACGTTCATTGTTCCTCCTTCATAATTCTTGTAACCATTTCTTCCTTCCTGTTTCCACTCTTAACTCCCAAACCCAGGCACTAACTGCCTCTGCCTGAAATTATATTAGTGGCTCACAGCTTCTTTTTTATTGGTTGTCTTGCCAGATACAATCCATATGGCATGTAAATGCAAAATCAATCTTTCTATAGTACCATTCTAATCACGTCATTTCCCCCAGGAGGCCCTCTGGAGCTCCATAATCTTTAAACATAAACCCTAGATGTTTCAGCCTGACTTTCAAGATGCTGGATCATCTACGCTCACTGAGTATACACAAGCAGAAGCTCATATTGTAAAAGACTATCAAACAGAGCCTAACTTTTCAAATGGAGCTAGGAGCTGTTGAGTTCCACATACATGCTGCATCCTCATTGTTAGCATATTCCTGTAAACTCCTTCCTAGCTCCCTTCACCCCAGTAGTAAATGATTGCCACCATCACTGGATGAATGAATGAATGAATGAATGAAACGATAGCACAATAACATGCAAACACCTATTTGTTTATTTAAAATTTTCTTTCATCTTCAATAGTGCCAGTATTTCGATTAATAGCCTCAAATATTATCATCAGAATCTATTTATCCAAGTCTGGCCTTGCCACTTTGGTCTACTGTAACTTTAGGCACATCACTTCATCTTTCCAACTGTCAATTTTCTTCTCTCTAAAACTGGAGCTAGAATAGTACCCACCATTAGGGTTTTTGTGAGTATTAAATCATGTAGAGGACTTGAAACAATCAGCAGTACAGTAAGCATTCAGTAAATGTTAGTCATTGTAATTATTGCTATCACTCCCTCATAAACATCTTCTTTGGATCCACTGACATCTATCAAAGTTTTAGTCAGATGATAACTAATGGGTAGAATATTTGAGTGCAGCTTACAAATTTATGTTAGGAAAAAGGTGGTACAAGGATCCCCAAGACTGATACACACAAACTCTGGAGTCCATGCACGACCCTGTGCAAATAAAACTTACTGAGTATCAGTTTCCTTGTAAGTAAAATGATCCTGGACACCCTTTTAGCTCAGTAGTGAAGTCACATCTGAGGTTCACCCTTCGTTCAAAGATTAGACAGGCCCATAAAACAAAAGGAGACTAAAGGAGCACACCAGACCAGGGGCAAGGACTAGAAGGCAGGAGGGGACAGGAAAGCTGGTAATAGGGAACCTGAGGTTGAGAACGGACAGTGTTGACATGTCGTGAGGTAATGCTAACCAATGTCATAAAACAATATGTGTACTGACTGTTTAACGAGAAGCTAGTTTGTTCTGTAAACCTCATCTAAAGCTCAGTAATAAAAATAATAAATAAATTAGTAAAACAATAACAATAATATCCACATAAATTGCTATCGTGAGGATGTTGGTGGCTAAAAAGCACTGGGCATTCACAAATATTATTCTCACCTATCCTGCCCTTAAAATAATAAATAATGTTGTATAAATAATGTTTGTAAACATTTTGATATTTAAATATATGCCTAAAGTCATAGTTTTTTCAATATATAAATATAAAAACTTCTAAAAAGTCTGTCTTGTTTATAATTTTACCTTGTGACAGGTAGAGAAACCAATAGGAGGAGTTACTTTTCTAATTTTAATTCTGATAAAATAAATACAAGTAAATGAAGAAGAACTAGTAAGCAAAATGGAAATACATCAAATATTATGAACAATAGAGGGCAATATTTATACATATACATAGATCTTCGAAAGCATTTCACAAAATTTTATATTATCGTCTTAAAAAATGAGGATAGATGCTCTTAAGCACAATCCTGAAAGTACAAACCCAAAGATTCTTGCGAAGAAAAAAAAAGGGGGGTGTGGGTGGGGAAGGAACCAATGAAAACCATGTGGCTGCAAAAATTATCTTGGAGTAAAATTCTAAAATAACATTTTCAAAACGATAATGAACCTTGGAATTATGAAGCCGCATTTCTTCAGCGTTCAGAATGAGCTGAGACCACAAAAAGCCAAAGACAGCAACAAACACTTAGTTGTGTGTGTGTGTGTGTGTACAAATGTGTATGTTTTAGCTCTTCACGTGTCTTCCTCAAATTCATCCTCAATTCTAGCAAATAAATAAACCTCAACATCAAAAGTCAAAGTATAAGCCATTCAGCAAGTTCCCTTAAATTTACCTTATCACCTCTGGTTTAACCTATAATGGAAACCTGGTGTTATGGATTGAATTGTGCACCC